ACACACAGACACACACACACATACACACACACACACATACACACACACACACACAGAGAGAGAGAGAGAGAGAGAGAGAGAGAGCAATCAAGCAAACAAAATACCTGCATTAGAAAAAGAATGGAGATTGAGGGTTATAGCAGGAAGTATGCTTGCCTTGTATACAGTTGACCCTGAATTTGATCACTAGAACCCCATTTGATCTCCACGCCCTGCCAGGAGCCATCCTGGAGTGTAGAGCCAAGAGTAAGCCCTGTGCATAGTAAGGTATGATTCAAGCCAGGTAAAATAGAAAACAAAACAAAATAAGAAAGAAAGAATAAAAGAAAGAAAAGCAAATGAATTGTTGCTAGTCTGGTAAATAAAGAATTTCTTATTTAAAAAAATGATAGTGATAACTGCATGACTCAAAGACAATCAGTTTTACACTTTAAAAGCTTAATTTCCTGGCATATGACATTTACCTTAATTGAAAACTAAACAATCCAAAAAGAAAGAAAGAAACCGCTACCTTATTAACAGAAAACAGTTCTTGGCATATAGAAAAATCCATATTAAACAGTAATTATGTTACTTTTTCTCAATTCATCCTTAGACTTTTATTATAAATAGTATATTCTACTGATGTCTTAGTCAATTTTATATAATATTAAATATTCTGGAAACAAAGTTGAAAAGAAAGTGTGATATATAAATTTATGTTTTAAAGAAAAAATTCAAAAATAAAATCTCAACAGAAACTGAGAAAACCATCATATTAAATATTCCATTCATTTATCAGACATATTTTTGTCTCACTGTCAAGGCATTTTATGAATAATGCTATCTTATTCACCAGAAGGTACTTTATTCACATATTATGATTATAAACCATTTTGACCATACAACCATATTTATGAACTAAAAACAAAGAACTTGCATAATTTACTCATAAAATTATATAATAATTGTCAATTCAAAAACAGCTTTAGGGAGGTCAAAATATTTTGAATTTTCATATTGTGCTTTTAAAAATGACCATAGATTTGATCTTCTTGTCACATGTATGCTGTATACTATACAGTAGAACAGTAGCATTGTCCTCCCATTGTTCATCGATTTGCTCAAGCGGCCCCAGTAACATCTCCATTGTGAGACTACTGTGTCAAACACAGCTGTTACTGTGTTTGATATATCAAGTACTTCATGAGTAGCTTGCCAGGCTTTGCCATGCAGGCGAGATACTCTCGGTAGTTTGCGGGATTCTCCGAGAGTGGCAGAGTAATTGAATCCGAGCCGGCCGGCCAGCCTCGCACAAAGCAAATGCCCTACTGCTGTGCTTTTGCTCCAGCCCAATTTTATAATTTCCTGCAACTAAAGTAGGTGCTGATTTACTATCTAACAAATCAAATGGGACATTCCTGTTATTGAACAAATAGAAACTGGCAGAAGTGGCTGTTGGTTTACACTCAAATCCATTCCTAGCTAATACACTGAAGGGAGAATTAGGATGTGTATTTGGCAAAAGTTACATAAACAGTTCACAAAATAATTAAAGAAACAGAAGTCATATGTGATTTCCTGTATGAGACAAATTTTTTAATCACTGTCTTGAGGAAATGTCTTAGAGAAAAACTTGATTTGTATTAATTTTGTACTACTCCATCTTGTTCTTCCTGAGGAGCTGCTGCATTTTCTACAACACTAGGCAGTGAAACAGTCATGCTATTGCAGAACTTGCTGTAATTGTTTGGGTAAAGCCAGAATATCATCAAAGCCCAGTTTGGGTGCAACGTTGCTAACAATGGAAGCAAAAACCACTTAAAGGGCTAGAGATTTCCTTTCCATCCCAGCTTTTAGAACAATGATCGGTGTACCAAAGATAAGAAAGGGGAGGTCCGGGGATATATGTACAAAAACAGGCAGATTTGGGTATCCCTGAATATCATTTTGGGCAAATAAGCTTCCAGAGTCAGGGCTTCATCTTGAATGTTTTGAAAAGGAAAGAGAAGTGGCATATGCTTTAGCCTTTTCTTTAATTATCCAAGTCTGGTATGCACATATGAAGGTATAGTTTAAAAATATGTATTTCAGTGACCACAATTATTTTAAAACACAATTAGAAAAGAAGAGACAAAGAAAAGTGCTGAGATGAGTAAAATAAATAATGGAGTAGGAATATATTACCTATGTTAAATTTTTAAAAGGTAAAAGATATAAGTATTTGATATTGTTCTGATAAATAGTGTATCATCAGAGAATATTAATCACATCTAGAAGGAGAAAGAAATTATAATGCATCACCAAATAGAAACAGTGATATGTAAAAGAGAAAATGATATAGAGACACAAAAATATAGGGCAAAATATAAGGGATAAATACCATAATGCACTCAGATTTAGAGAAGTTTGGAGGATAAGTGATATATGTTACAATAAAAGTGAGGCAAAACAAAAAAATCAGTACATGTTTAGGCATGGAAAGAGAGACATACTAGAATATAATAGCTATTAGGTCACTAAACTTTGTGGGATATGCATTGTGACATGTATCTGATACTTGTTTAATATGCTATTCTGTGAAATATTTTTGCATTTGCATCTTCACAATGAATACCTAAATGACTCATAAAAGCAAAGAGACTCACCAATATGTCCTACTTCTCAAAAGTACCTAAAGACTAAACAGCTTCTGTAGTAGAATTTGATGTAAGTCATCAACTCATACTTTTTATTTATTTTTTGGTAATATTTTTATTTTACTTTTATTTATTTATTTATTTTATTGAATCTCTGTGGGAAAAATTACAAAGTTTTCAGGTTTAAGTCTCGGTCTTGCAATCATCAAACACATTTCCCCTCACCAGTACTTATTTTTCACCACCAAGAACCCAAATATATCCCCCCCCCAACCCTCTCAGTGCCTGTGAGGCAGATGAATTCTAGTTAACACTCTATCTACTTTTATTAGATTCATTGATTTGACAAATGATGCACCATTATTATTTAGAGTTTATACCCCACAATCAGATCTGCTGAAAAGGCGTTGTGAAATAATTTGTTTTCTATAGCTGGTTATGAGAACCAAATGATGTTGCACGCCCGCTATTGTGGCCATGTGATTTTGGATTTCTGATATTTTACTTGTTAAGCCTGAAAGTATCTATGCCGAGTCAGATAATTATAAGATTGGTTTCTGTGGCTCTGGAGCCATGGCCATGCCGGAGAGCCGCTCGTGGGGGGCAACTCATGACTTCAGTAGGGCGTGAAGGATGAGCCAGGAATGCCCCCTTTCCCATGAGGTTTCAGTTGCCCTGTCATGATCGGCTCATACCTCTCTTTCCAAAAATCTTCGAGGCAGCCGCCATCCTGCTGTCCAGAGGGATAAAGGAGGAAGGGAGTAACACCCTTTCCCTCCCGGGCAGGTATGGTGGCATGGATTAACGCATAGTCCATTCACTTTTCTGCCACAAGCTTCTGGGCTCTGCATTAAGTCCTTGTGCTTCTGGAGCCATGGCCGTGCCAGGAAGAGGGGCATTCCTGGCTCATCCTTCATGCCCATATATGGGTATGAAAGTAAAAATTCTTCAAATGTAGTTGACAAAAGTAATATATGCATGACTTGTAATCTAAATAATTTATATAATTTCAATTAAAACAAAACCTTAGAATTTAAAATTTTTCAAAAATTTGTTATTTTTCCTTCATTTTAGTAAGAAGCAAACTAAAAATTTAATGCAAAACAGATCAAAATATAACTTATTTTCAAAGAATGGATTTATCTATTTATTTTGAAAATGTTACTTACATTCATTGTAGTGTAAACAGACATCTGAAACACAGTGTCAGAGTTATCAAACTTGGTTTTCTTTCTTTTTTTGGGAGGGGGCTTTTTGGGTCTCACCCGGTGATGTACAGGAGTTACTCCTGGCTCATGTACTCAGGAATTACTCCTGGTGGTGCTTGGGGGAACATATGGGATGCTGGGAATCCAAGCTGGGTCGGCCACGTGCAAACGTCCTACCAGCTGTGCTATCGGTGGAGCCCTCAGACTTGATTTTCATTAAAAAATGTTTTTAAATACTCTATACTTTTGTTTGCTTTGAATGCCTAAATCAGTATATTTTCAATTAAACTCTAGTACCCTAGTATCTCTTTAAAGTGTAATATATATAGCACATTCTCAAATATTTGACATATTTCTTCAATAAATATAATTTGCATTTCTCAAATTTCCATGATACAAAGTAAAAATTCAGACTCAAATAGTCATATAAAATTTGTCTCTTATTTGCATAGGATTTTATAATTTATAAAAGAAATTCATATTTATGATTACATTATATTTTTATTAATTTATAACCTTGAATTTGTTGCAAATTAAAAAGAAAAAAAAGGGGCTAACAGTTTAAGTACTTTCCCCAAACCATAGAAGCATAGTTAATTCAAGATTCATACTCAAATCTTAATTAGACTGAATCTCCTTAAGCCCAATGATTACTCTAGAGAGAAGATCAATTAAATCCTTCCATATTGACCCCGGTAGTGTTATTTATCAGCCTCTCAACTGTATTATCTTCCCATGGATCCTTTCAAGTTAAATTAATAAAGCACAAATATATGTCTCGACTTGTCTATCAGTAACATGTGAGTAAATAATTTTAATTGTCAATGCAAATGAAATTTTTCATCCTCTAGGTTGCATTACTCTGATCTATTCATGATAATTTTGCATTTTATATCAAATTGTATCTATTGCAAAATGTCAGATTGTAACAACCATGAGAACAGCTTGAAGTTTAATAATTTTAATACACTTACCTCTTGACAGTTTGATTCTTTGTCAACATCCAAAAAAGTATATTATTTAAAATGTATGCTCCAAATGAAAGTCCACAATTTTTAAAATCAATGATAATTTGTAGCAGTTTCACTACATCCTAACATATATTTTTTGTTGTCAATATAAAATGATTTTCTAACATTTCTGAAAATGATATGAACAAAGTAAGAGCACCTACCTAGTCCGTGTCTATGTGTTGACATTGGTGGTAAAACAGTCCAGGTCTTAGTTCTAGGATTGTAACATTCAACAGTGTTCAAAGTCTTTAAGCCATCACGACCTCCAATCACGAAGAGTTTGTCATCAATAACAGCCACACCAAATTGTAATCTTCTGCCGTTCATCATTCCTGCCTGAATCCACAAATTTGTTCTCAGGTCATATTTTTCTATGGTTGTAGCTCCTGATAAGATATCAAACCAAATAGTCACAATTTACTGCTAAGGCAATATATAATCAGCCTAAGATAGAATACAAATTAGAATATGAAAACACATGTGTCACTTTCATTTTCCCAAGGAAAATGTGGCATAAAAGCAATGCACTAGTAACGCAACTGATTAATGTTCGCCTCTTGGCAGAAACTCTAGCGATGAAAATCACGACAAATGTTTAGCTTATTTGAATGACTTAATGGTCTCATGATAAACTATTGATACAATAAAATAATTTGCAAAAGACCTTTTTAGAATACTAAGATATATCTTTATAACTTCTAAATATGAAGTTAACCTAATAGACTCCTAATTGTTGTCTTCTGCCTTAAATAGATTTATAGAAGTCCTTTTAGATAACTAATCTATATATCTTTATAATTTCTAAATAAAAAGTTAACCTAATAAACTCTAATTATTGTCTTCTGCCTTAAATAACAAAACTCTAAAATCTGATTTTAAGTTAATTAAACAAATTTGTGCCATACTTTTTTAAACCTGCACTTTAAAACATATATATGGGTAATTGCTTACTACAATTAAATAAATAATTAAATGATAATATGTATCTATATTAAGATAAACATTACATATATTTAACATGATCTGAATATCCTTATCAAGCATGCTAGAATCTAGACAAATAGATTGTTTTTCTTTAATGATTTTTCATTTATAAATTTGAAATGAAAATTTACACACCCACCACCTGGCCACCTGGCGCCGTGTAATCCCATCAACGGCCAAGACTCAGAGACTATAAAATCCAGCTCCCGGACAAGACCAGTGCAGTCTCCTGCCCCCGCGCCTGGCTGTTCCTCGCTGGAGCCCCTTGGAGGGGAGCGGGTTGAGCTTTCCTCCCCGCCCCGACCAGAGCTCCGGCAGCCGAAGACCTCCAGGACCAGCCACCACCATGCTGAGACCACTCTCTGCACACATGAAGGTACTGGCAGAGGGACAAAGCCACGAGGGTTCCGGGGCCGAGATCTCCAAGCCTACCCGGATTGGAGTCGAGCATCCTCCACCCAGATCCTCCAAATTCCAGTAGGCGGGGGTCACACCCACCACCTGGCCCCCTGGCGCCGTGTAATCCCATCAACGGCCAAGACTCAGAGACTATAAAATCTAGCTCCCAGAACCGCGTGGCCGCATTTGCGGCTGCACAACATCTTATCAGGACATCTTTTTATGACATCTTATTATCTCATTCCTACTTTGGACAAACTTGCAGGCTATTGAATGTAGCCTGTCCACAGGGCAGAGTCTGGCAAACTCCCCGTGGTGTACCCAATATGCCAAATACCAGTAACAATGATGGGTCTCATTCTCCTAAAGAGGTAAAAGGTAAAGGTAAAGGCCCTCCCGTTGATCATTGATTTGCTCGATCAGGCCCAGTAACGTCTCCATTGGAGACTTTGTTGTTACTGTGTCTGGCATACCAAATACTCTTGGTAGCTTGCCGGGCTCTCTGAGAGGGGTGGAGGAATCGAACTCGGGTCGGCCATGTTGGCCGCTTGTAAGGCGAACGCCCTACCCGCTGTGCTATCGCTCCAGCCCAGTCACTTGAATATAATCTCAGGGCTGGGATGAAAGAGACGTTACTGGGGCCTGCTCGAGGCAATCGACGAATAACAGGATGATGAATGAATGAATGAAAAAAATTTGAGAAATGCAATAAATTGATTAATAACATAGAAATTAGAAGGATTTTCCAAGTTGATAACAAGCTTCAATTAATACACTTAAACATTTCACAATAAATTGTTCGCAGAAAATGATTTTATACATATATGTATATATGCTTTAAAAAAGGACAGTAAACATCTATATTGCTTTAATGCTCCAATACATATTCACCTGGGTTTAAGTAAAGTAAAGTAAGTAAAGTAAAGGCCCTCCCGTTGATCATCGATTTGCTCGAGCAGGCCCAGTAACGTCTCCATTGGAGACTTTGTTGTTACTGTGTCTGGCATATCGAATACTCTGGGTAGCTTGCCAGGCTCTCCGAGAGGGGCGGAGGAATTGAACTCAGGTCGGCCATGTTGGCTGCGTGCAAGGCAGACGCCCTACCCGCTGTGCTTTACCTGGGTTTAAGTATCAGTATTAAATATTTCTACAAAGCAAGTCATTGTGTTGTGTGATATAGGGGTCAGAAGATACAGCCATGAATCCAAGTCCTCCTATCTGAAAGGCAGTGCTCTGCCACTGCATCATCTCCCGGTCCTGGAAGTTAACATTCTTATGCAAGCACTAAAGACTGTTCACTTCTAACATGAAAAACTTGCATACTGAGGGAAAATATTGCACTGGGATAATTTACTCTTAAGAATCTAGCTTGCAGGGCTGGAGTGTTAGCACAGCAGGTAGGGTGTTTGCCTTGCACGTGACCGACCCAGGTTTGATTCCCAGCATCCCATATGGTCCCCCAAACACTGTCAGGAGTAACACCTGTGCATCGCTGGGTGTGACCCAAAAAGCAAAAAAATTAAAAAAAAATCTAGATTGCAATAAACTAAAAATATATAATCTACTTGGTAAAAGTTTTGCTAACTGATGTGATAATGATCTAATTTAAAGCTCTGTTATAAATATATTGAATTTAGTAATACCATTTAGTAATAACATTGATAGAGAATTACATGTATATTATTTCATGATATTAAAAATATAAAGATTTTAATTATAACCAAATATGAGTGTTATATATTTATCATTTTAAAAATGAACAAAGAATTTTTATGTTCATTAAGGTCATTGGATACTGTTTAGTTATAACAAAACAAATTATTTAAGTACATAATTATTTTATGCTTTATGCAAATAAAAATTCAGAGGTACTAAATTTAAGGTCATATCAATTATCAAATTGAAAGCACTGTGATTTCATGAATAACTACACATTAAGAGTATGCAGTCATTTTCTCTTGTAACTTTAGACATAAAAATGATGATGGAAGAAGTAACCTAAACTTGGTTAAATCAATTTATTGGATTTATTGGTTTAACTGATATATATATATATGTAGACACAGAGGTGACATTTGAAAAAAGGTACTTTCTAGAGTCTTCAGAACTTTGGTAAAAACAATTTAGCACAATTTTAAAGAGGAAAGTTATTAAGAAGGTATAGGATCTGTGTAATATGAATAGACAAAGTTGAAAGGGAGTTTTATTATAATTTTATAAAATCCAAACAAGCAATATATAATTGATACTTGAATATGTAGTGGATTGTCTACTTTACAGCATTTTTCCTAACTTAATTTTCAAATTTGGCCTTTTATCCTAAATTTTCTAAAGCAGAAATTGAGCTTTAACTTTTAATTTTTTTAACGTGAAGTGGAAGGCAGCTATGATTCCTCCGCCCCTCTCGGAGAGCCCGGCAAGCTACCGAGAGTATTCGGTATGCCAGACACAGTAATGTGAAGTGGTAATAAATTCCTTTAGCTACCCTTAAAAATTGGGCTGGAGCAATAGCACAGCAGGTAGAGCATTTGTCTTGCACGGAGTCTACACAGCTGACTCGAGTTCGATTCCTCTGCCCCTCTCGGAGAGCCTGGCAAGCTACCCAGAGGATCTGGCCTGCACAGCAAAGCCTGGCAAGCTACCCATGATGTATTCAACATGCCAAACACAGTAACAAGTTTCGCACAGTTACTGGGCCGGTTTAAGCAAATCGATTAACAACAGGAGGACATTGACAGTGACCCTTAAAAATTACCCCACTTAGTACCTAAAAGCCACAGTTTTTTTGTTTGTTTGTTTTCTTTTCTCTTTTCAGCTTAACAGTTCTGGAGACCAGCATTTGAAATAGATCTAACTTTAGTAGAATGAATATGTTGCAAGAATTTTATAACTCTAAGGGGTCTGTAAGTGCTAAATGATTCGCTTTCATTTTCCATCTTCTTCAAATTACTCACTTTTCTCAAAGGCCTTCAAGGCCTCCATCTTCAAAGCAATAACATTACATTTTCATTGTCACTGATCCTTGGAGTTACACAGGGCTAAACCGAAATTAATCTTGATTAACACAGAATATTAGGTTTAATAATAATAGTAATAAGGATTTTTAGTAATAATGCACTGCCTCACTGTGCTCCTGTTGTTCATTGATTTGCTGAAGCGGGCACCAGTAAGATCTCCATTGTAAGACTTGTTATTACTGTTTTTGGCATATTGAATATGCCATGGGGAGATTGTCAGGCTCTTCCTAGGGTGGGATACTGTCATTAGCTTGCAGGGCTACTGGGAGGGATCAAGTAATTGAACCCGGGGAAGCCATGTGCAAGGCAAATGCCCTACCTATCACTCCAACCTGTAGAAATAGTACTATATATAAAATCGTTTTTCATTTACTGATTATGTGGACCTGTGCTGAGTCTTCACACAACTCAGCACACAATACATAAGAAGTAAGAAATGGTGAACTGTGACAAAGGCAGGCCCCCGCACAGGTTGGGTGTAGGCCAGGCGCAGGCTGGGAGCAGGCTGCGAGCAGAGGCAGCGTTCGGTGCAGACACGGGGAGCAGCCTCCCCAGGCTCTTCCAGGACAATGGGCAAGGGTGAAGGATTGGCCACGGGCGTACTTCCTAGTATAGTCCAGTCTCTCCCTTTACAGCACTGTCATAGTCGTTGTTCTGGCTATAGTCTCGGTCATCACAGTTCCATCATCCTAGTCTCCTCGCAGACCTCAAAGTCTCCAAAGTCTCAGTTTTTCTCCTTGTCTTATTATCTTCTCTTTGCTGCTTTTCTCTCTTTTTATCTTCTTCCTTTGTGCTCTGCTTCTATGTGTGCCACTGTGCTCTTCTCTAAGTCCTCTATCTTCTGTCTGTGCCATTGCGCTCTGTCTCATTCTCTCTGTCTCCTGCTCTCTAGGTCTGTGGCCATTGTCTTCTTCTTCTGTCTCTGGTCTCTTCTTCTGACCTCTTTTAACCCTGTGACTGTGATGACCTTGTAACCATCTGACCTG